ACTAGTGACTGGGTTTTATCCCTCACTGAAGGTTGGGCAATCCTACTTCCATAGTGATACTGCCTCGGAAACCCAAGGAGGGGTCGCTACGAGTCAGGGCTGACTCGACGGCACATAACAACAACAACAACATTAGCATAGAGGGAGTCAACTTTGCAGCTAGTGGAATGAGTAATCAAAATGACTTGATACTGAAACTCATCTTTGGTCCTCTTGGGTAAGATTTAGAGTTGGACTGTATAGGTCTGTAGGCTTTTTTGTATTGGTCAGCAAAGTATTTTGAAAAGAAATTCAATTGTAATACCTTTAAGATATGTGCTCTCTGGTTTACCAGAGACCCCATTAACTTATTTGTCAGGCTTTTAAAGGCACTTATATCTATCTACAGTATAGAAGCACTTACTTGCATAAATATTATTCTGATTATGAACACAAACAAAACCTAGCTGAGTTTTTAGCTGCATCTCTTATCTTTCATTGTACAGACCTTTGTCTTTTGCTAAGATGATACAAAGAAACTTTCTGCAAGGTTTGGGTCTTGTGCTCTGCTCACATCGTATAGTTATATATGGCAAGAATAGCCGGAATGATCTTCTCACTAGCTCTTAACTCTCTATGTTTACTACTATGTTGTCACTTTTCATTTTTCCTCATAAAACTCAGTTCAGCTTGGTTTTACTACTTTGATTTTCTCTGTTTACACTCCAAAAGAACAATAAAAACTATATAGGAGGAATCAGTAATTTTATCAACAGGAAAAATATTGTTTTCCTGTTCAGACTATGGTAGGTCTTGGAACTCTGGCTTGATTTCATCCACTTAGTGCACTATTATTTGTGAGTGGAGCAAATTTGGTTTGTCTTACAGACAGCTACCTATGGATAGGCTAATTCAGATAGCTGGTAAAATGAGAATTCAAAAGGTGTATATCTTTAATAATGGAATAAGGCTTTAGTCAAAATTTAACTCTTGCATCATAGTTTGGTTTTACAGGCAGTGTAGCATTCCTGTTTATTCTCTTTTTCTAATATAAACTGATAACATAAAATCTCAACAGATTAGTAATTGTAAGTGCAGAGCATACATGGTCATAGATTCTTTCTGATACACCTTTCTCTACTAAGTGTAGAGAATCATAGTATATAGAACAATAGTATGCAAGGAAAGTATTAATTGTCTCTGTAAAATTTAATGTGTGGATTAATATTTGGTACTGTTTAGTCTGTTTGGCATTACTCCAGGTCATGCAATACCCTAATTACATATTTTTGAGCTTGGGATGTTTTATTTCACATGAGTGCCATCCCCTTTACAGAAAAGTTAATCATTTGTTCCTAAGTAATTAAATAATTTCACTTATTTTGGGCAAAGACAAAAATTAGGACTGAATTAAGAAGTAAATAAAATTTAAAAGTTACTCTAGATAAGATGTTGTTATGTTGTTATGTGCCGTCGAGTCGGACCCAACTTATAGCAACCTCTCCTTGGGTTTCCGAGGCAGTATCAGTATGGAAGTAGATTGCCCCATCTTCCTTCTGAGGAGTGGCTGGTGGGTTTGAACCATCAGTCTTCTGGTTAGCAGTCAAGTGTCTTAGGCACTATGCTACCAGAGCTCCTCTAGATAAGATAGGGTGTTTTTAATTTTAAATTTGGTTTGTCTTTTTAAAATTTTAAAATTTGAGTATTATCAGACTTCTAGTAATAGACTATCCTGTTCTTCATTCATTGCCCTGTGCACATTTCATGAGAACCTCAACTAGCTATTGTATTGACAAAAATTCTTATCTGTCTACAAAGTATTATGAATCCTCCTAATGGTATTCATTCATCTTCTAACTCTTTCAATCATCAGTTGGTACCAAGCCTCATATACATCAGGAAAATGATTTTTATCTCTACAGACAATCAGTGCAATGTAGACTAGCTTCAAATCTCAGAGTTGCACAAGGGCAAATTTACCTTTAACAGATGTATGTTCAAAAATTAAAAGGCAAGACAAATTGCTCCTGGCAAGTTCAGACTCCCTGAAGTCAAGGACAGCATATAAATGGCAGGAAGCAGCACTAAGTCATTCATGACTAAAGCTTATGAACTAAGCAAATTGTACTGAATTGAACCAAGGAAAGAAATAGAAATATGGACGGTATATCGGTCCCACCATTTTTATTCTTTCTAACTTCAGGCACCATATAGAGAGAAATGACTAAATCTCTATTTTAATGGCTGCTGTCAAGAGTTTTGCTCTGTAGGGCCCATTTCAGCAGTTCCTGGTGGTAATATATGGCATTTTCCTGATTAACAGCCATTTTATAACTTGTGTAATTGGCCACAAATCAGGGAAATGTCATAATGTAGCAAGAAAACATTCCAATCTCCATCATAGCCTTGGCTTGGCTTTCTGGAGGAATTATTACTTGCGGAGTTTGTGGGTTTTCATTACTTTAAATAATGTACTACCTGAAGTACAAAAAAAAGACATTTAAACTAATGAAAATTTCTGTTTCCTAACCCGTTGTACCATGGCCACCATTAGATTTATTTTCCCCTTGGAAAAATCCCTAAAAATGGAATTCTTTATTTACCTTTCTACTACCAGTGAAGGAAAATAGAGGCAAGGAAAGAGATGTGAATACAGTGAGGTAAGATCTCACCTCAAGTGTAAAACTGAAAGGGACAGCAAAAACTCAGTAGTCAAGATAAAAATATCTTATTGAAATATTTTTTAAAATCAAAATGAATGCAAAAAATTTCATGGTGAAAAAAGATATCAAAATTTTAATTAAACTTGGGATTTGACCCTGCACCTAAATGTACCTCATTAGCCTCACCTTGTTCTTGGCCTTGGGCAAGGGTATTACAAAGGAAAGTTGTTGTTGTTGTTATTATTAGATGCTCTCCAGTCAATTTTGACTCATAGCAACCCCACTGACAGAATAGAATTGCCCCATAAGATTTCCAGGCTGCAATCTTTAGAAACCCTAGTGGTACAGTAATTAAGAGGTAGGCTGCTAACCTTAAGGTTGGCAGTTCAAACTCACAAGCTGCTCCATGGGAGGAAGATGTGACAGTCTGCTTCTGTAAAGATTATAGCCTTTGAGACCATATGGGGCAGTTCAGCTTTGTTCTTTAGGGTTGCTATGAGTCAGAATTGACTGGATGGCATACAACAACACAACAACAATCTTTATGTAAGCAGATCACTGGGTCTTTCTTCTGTGAAGCCACTGGGTAGGTTCAAACGGTCAATGTTTCAGTTAGCTGCCAAACACTTAACAGTTGCTCCACCAAGATTCATTGGATAGGAAACCGTGACCACAAAATAAGGAGATGAACTCTATTCAACCAATGGGAAGACAGGTTTTGGCTTTTTAGAGTGACTTTTCAGCTATATAATGTTGTTATGTGCCGTCGAGTCGGCCCCGACTCATAACGACCCCTCCTTGGGTTTCTGAGGCAGTATCACCACGGAAGTAGGATTGCCCAACCTTCCTTCTGAGGAGTGGCTGGTGGGTTTGAACTACCAGCCTTGTGGTTAGCAGTCAAGCGCCTTAGGCACTATGTGAGTCTTATTTCACCTGTAATGCATAGTCAAAGCATTTTCCTCTCAAAGTGCCATCTATAATGGAGACAGATTATGAAATTTCATTTTAGCCATTATTGGAGACCAAGAACTATTAAAGTATGCCAAGTGCAAATGATTATAAAACATCTTCTCTTCTTGAGTAAAGACTAACACCATTTCTTTAAGTAAAAAGGAAAAAAATATAATTATTTCCTGATTTGAGTAAGTCACTGTGATATGCACTAGAAACACAAAGTCAAAAGAATCTGTCTCTGTCCTTAAGAAGATAGAAAAATAAATCCGTGATGACAGTGGTTTGGTAAGTCTGTGAGAAAGGTATACAGAGAATACTAAAACCAAATCCATTTCTATAGAATCAATTCTAACTCACAATGATGCTATAGGACAGAATAGATCTGCTCCATGAAGTTTCCAAGACTGTAAATCTTTATGGAAACAGTCTGTTACCTCTTTCTCCCATGAAGTAGCTAAACTTTTGGTTAGCAGTAGAGTGCTTAACCACCGTGTCACCAAGGGTTCCTATACACAGAATGGAGAGCATATAAATTGGAGGGGTGTTTGATTTTCCAGAAAAGATTACATTTGCCTAAATCTTAAAAGCTGACAGAAAAGAGTTAGATGAAGGAGGATGGGAGATGCGGTATTCCAAGGAAAAAGGAACAGCATGAAAATAAGGTGGCTTGCAACGGTAGGATGTTTTGGAGGGCTCAGAAAATTAGATAAAGATAGAGATATTGGGGCATACCAAAAAATGGTAAGGAATGAGACTGGACAGAGAGAAAGAAGAGGCAATTCTAGATATTGAAGGGCATAAATTTGCCATGCATAAATTTATAAAACATTCATATTTAATAATATATTCTCCACACAAAACTCATAAAATATCAGGGTAGGCATTTTATGCACTTTGATCTTTGAATTGAGAATAAAATACATTGAAGAAATGTATGTATTTAAACAGCTTTGAAAACTTTTCAGGAAATGTGTTCCACTAACAAAATTGAAAGTTTTACAAAGACAATTATATTACATCTGCCTGATTAATTTTTTCTTGACTTTTCACTTCTGATACCAAAACAAAGTAGGCTTTTATGTTCATAAACCTTGATATTTTATTTTAAAATTCAATGTATTTTAAGTATAGGTGAAGTAATGCTATGGAAATTAAGTTTAAAAATTATGTAATACTACCCAATGCAAAATGAGATATGAAGACAAAATACTACAAAACTAATGAGAAAGTTTATGATTTGCATTAAATCTGGATAATAAAATAATAATAAAAAACCATACTGAAACAATTACATTCTTTCAATAGTGTGATAAAATCTCCTACCAATTACAATTACATTTAACCTGAAAATAATAATAGAGGTCACACTAACCTTTTACATTATTTGCTAACTTCTTGGCTTCATTAAGAATCCTGAAGCTTTTCTGAAGAGAGCCTTTGGCATCTTCTTTTAATAAACCCTGAGGACCTGTTGCCTGTGGACAGAAAGAGAAGAGACACATATCTAACACCATACAATTATTGAGTCAAGAAGGAAGTTAGTATATGGAATTTGCTTTTAAAAAAGAGTTCTGGACTTCATATTTAGAATTCTAAATTTTCAGCACATAGTTGGTAATTAAAGTCAGGGAGAAAATTTATGGGAGAAAAGAGCTTAGAATAGAACCTTTAGGAACATCAACGTTTAAAAGGTTGGCAGAGGAACGGGACTGGTAAGGTAACTGTGGTTCCAGAGAGGTAAAGAAAAATAAAGGAGAGCATGTTATGGAAGTTAAGGCTTCCCAAACTGGCTAAATACATGATGGCTGGCTGCAAGGCAGGGAGGTTGTTGTTAACTGCCATTCAGTCAGCTCCGACTCATGAAGACATTAGGGTAAGCCTGAAACCACAGCATCTTCTTCATAGTTTGCTTTGTTTGAGACCGTTGATTTTACTTGTGTGTCAGTCCTCTCATTGAGGGTTTCCATCCATTTTGCTTACCCTCTAACTTACCAAACATGATAAGTGATCAAGATTATCAATGCTGCAAAGTAACCAAGTCAATTAACTAAAATGTCTTCTGACTTTATGCCTAAAGACATTTCACTCATGTTGTGGGGTGGAGTGGAGGAAATTAAAAGTGGGGTGTATGTGAAGAGCAGATGTCCTGTAGATTTTATACCTAAGGTTTTGAAGTACAAAAGAACACTGTTCCTTTTTAAATTCATGTTGAATAACTAAGACAAAACAAAATCTTCTAAATGGCAGTCCCTCGGGCACGATTATCTTCTAGCAAAGATGTATTTGTTGAACTTAGAAGAAAAGAGGTGACACAAAGATAATGGAATAATGTGGGAAATGGATGGCTTAGCTTCAATGTCTTGTCATCAATTTTAATACTGTTTGCTTCTCAGCAAACCCTCACATAATGCATTTGTATTAAGAAATAAATCATATAGGACTTCATGTATAAATTTTAAACAGGAAAAGTATTTAAAGTTGCAAGAAAAGCCAGAAATGCTAACTACTTACTGTTGATGTTATAAATCTGAACTCAGGTCAGCCTAGGCATAACAATCGTCAAAGACATCTTCACTGCTTTGCTGTTGTTGTTAGGTGGCATTGAGTTGGTTCCAACTCATAGCAACCCTATGTGCAACAGAACGAAACACTGTCTGGTCCGGCACCATCCTCATAATCATTGTCATGTTTGAGTATGTTGTTGCAGGCTCTGTGTCAATTCATCTTGTTGAGGGTCTTCCTCTTTTTTGTCTACTCTCTACCAAGTAGGGGAGCTCTGGTGGCGTAGTGCCTAAGGCATTTGACTGCTAACCAGAAGGCTGGCAGTTCAAAACCACCAGCCACTCCTCAGATGGAAGATTGGGCAATCTACTTCCATAGTGATACTGCCTCGGAAACCCAAGGAGGGATCGTTATGAGTTGGTTATGACTTGACGGCAGTGAGTTTGGTTTGGTTTGGTTTTCTACCAAGTATGATGTCCTTCTTCAGGGACTGGTCCCTCCTGATAACAATGTCCAAAGTATGAGACAAAGTCCTTCCATTGAGAATACTGACTGTACCTCTTCCAAGAAGATTTGTTCCTTCTTTGGGAAGTCCATGGTATATTCCACATTCTTCACCAACACCATAATTGAAATGCATCAATCTTCTTTGGTCTTCCTTGTTCATTGTCCAGGTTTTGCATGCATATGAGGCAATTGAAAATACCATGGCATGGGTCAGGTGCACCTTAGTCTTAAAAGTGATATTTTTTGCTCTTCAAAACTTTAAAAAAGTCTATTGCTGCAAAATTGTCCAATGCAATGCATCATTTGATTTCTTGACTGCTGCTTCCATGGACATTGATTATGGATCCAAGTAAAACAGAATTTTGCACAACTTCAATTTTTTTTTCTCAATTTATCATGGTGTTGATTATTAGTCTTGTTGTGAGGGTTTTGTTTTCTTTATTTTAAGGTGTAATCCATACTGAAGGCTATAGTCTTTGATCTTCCTCAGTAAGTGTTTCAAGTCATCTTCGCTTTCAGCAAGCAAAGTTGTGTTATCTGCATATTGTTAGTGAGACTCCTCCAATCTTCATGCTGTGTTTTTCTGCATATAGTCTGGGTTCTCAGATAGTTTGCTCAGCACATGGATTGAATAAGTATAGTTAAAGGATACAACCTTGACACACACCATTTGTGGTATTAAACCATGCAGTATCCCCTTGTTTTGTTCAAACAACTGCCTCTTGGTCTATGCACTGGTTCCAAATGAGCACAAATCCATTTCTTGCAATGATCGACAGTCCAATGCCTCTGCATATTCAATAAAATACATTTAAACATCTTCCTAGTATTCTTTGCTTTCAGCCAGTATCTATCTGACATCAACAGTGATATCCCTCATTCCACACACTCTTCTGAATCCTGCTTGAATTTCTCCAATTCCCTGTTGAGACTTGCATATGACATTAATGATATTATTCAATAATTTCTGCACTCTATTCAGTCACCTTTATTTTAGGATGGATCCAAATATGGATCTCTTCCAGTTAATTGGTCAGGTAACTGTCTTCCAAATTTCTTGGTATAGATGAGTGAGCACTCCAGCATTTCATCCATTTGTTGAAACATCTCAATTTGTATTTTGTCAATTCTTGCAGCCTTGTTTATCACCAATGACTTCAGTGCTGCTTGGACATTTTCCTTTAGTTCTATCAGTTCTGGATCATATGGTATCTCCTGAAATGTGCAAACATAGACCAATTCTTTTTGGTACAGTGACTCTGTGTATTTCTTCCATCTTTTTTTGATGCTTCCTGTATCATTCAATATTTTTGCCCTCAGAATCCTTCAATATTGCAACTTGCTGCTTGAATTTTTTTCTTCAGTTCTTTCAGCTAAAGAAATGCTGAGTGTGTTCTTCCCTTTTGTTTTTCTAACTCTAAGTGTGTTTCAACATTTCATTATCAATGTGCCTTGTTGTTGTTGTTAGGTACAGTTGAGTCAGTTCTGACTCACATAAACCCTATGTACAACAGAATGAACCACTTCTTGGTCCTGCACCATCCTCATAATCATTGCCATGCTTGAGGCCATCATTGTAGCCACTGTGTCAATCCATCTTGTTGAGGGTTTTCCCCCTTTTCACTGGTCCTCTACTTTACCAAGCATAATGTCCTTCTGCAGGGATTGATCTCTTTTGACATCATGTCACAAAGTACTGGTGATGAAGTCTATCCACTCTCAGTTCTACAGAACATTCCAGCTATGCTTCTTATAAGACAGATTTGTTTATTCTAGTAGTCTAAGGTGTGTTCAATATTCTTTGCTAGCATCACAATTCAAATGCATCAATTCTTCTGTTGCCTTCTTTATTCATTGTTAAGCTCTCATGCATATGTACCTAATGAAAATACCATGGCTTGGTTCAGGTATATCTTAGTCTTCAAAGTGACATATTTGCTCTTTAACACTTTAAAGTGCCATTTTGCAGCATATTTGCCTGATGCAATATGTTGTTTGATTTATTGACTGCTGCTTCCATGGGCATTGTTTGTGGATTCAAGTAAAAATGAAATCCTTGACAATTTCAGTCATTTCCCCATTCATCTGATGTTGCTTATTGGTCCAGTATGAGGATTTTTGCTTTATTTATGTTGAGGTGTAATCCATACTGAAAGCTATAGTCTCTGATTTTCATCAGTAACTGCTTTAAGTCGTGTTCACTTTCAGCAAGCAAGGTTGTCATCTGAGTATCACAGGTTGTAACGAGTCTTCCTCCAATCCTGATGCCATGTTCTTCTTCATATAGTCCAGCTTCTCAGATCATTTGCTCAGCATGAAGATTGAATAAATATGGTGAAAGAATACTACCCCAACACACACCTTTTCTGATTTTAAACCATCCTCTTTTTCTGTTCCAATGGCCAAGTCATGGTCTATGTACAGGTTTCTCATGAGCAAATTAAGTTTTCTGAAATTCTCATTCTTCACAATGTTATGTATAATTTGTTATGATCCACACAGCTAGATGCTTTTACATAGTCAGTAATACATAGGTGAACATTTTTCTGGTATTTGTTTTCAGGCAAGATCAATCTAATATCAGTAATGTTATTACTCATTCCAGGTACTCTTCTGAATCCACATTGAATTTCTGGATTCTCTGTTAATGTACTGCTGCAACCATTTTAAAATTGTTTTCAGCAAAATATGCATGTGATATTAATGATATTGTTTGATAATTTCTGTGTTTTGTTGGATGACTTTTGATCCAACAAAATGGGCACAAACATGAATATCTTCCAGTCCATTGGCCAGGTAGCTGTCTTCCAAATTTCTTGTCATAAATGAGTCAGTGCCTCCAGTCCTTCATTCATTTTTTGAAACATCTCAATGGTTATTCTGTTAAGTCCTGGAGTTTTTGTTTTTTTTTTTGCCAATTCCTTCAGTGCAGCTTGGAATTCTTTCTTCAGTACTATGGATTCTTGATCATATGCTACCTCCCGAAATGATTGAACATTGACTAATTATTTTTGGTACAATGACTCTATATCCCTTCCATCTTCTTTTGATGCTTTCTGCATTGTTCATAGAATTCTTCAATATTGCAACTTGAGGCCACAACATATCTGGTAGTTTGTCATAATGTGGTGGCTTGTGTGTTCTTGTGATGGTGGAAGTTATGCCATCATTATTTCAAATAAGAGTAAGTGGCCCACTCATGGTGGATGGGTTTCAGCAGAGCTTCCAGAATGAGACAAGTTAGGAAGAAGGACATGGCCAGTTCCACTTCTGAAAAGATTGGCATCTGAAAGCCTGATGATTAGCAGGGAAGCAGTGTTTGATATAGTGCCAGAAGATCAGTCCATCAGGTTTAAAGGCACTCAAAATATGACTATAACTGAGTACATGTGCCTTAGAAACACTTTTTTTTCTCATTCAGTCACAAGCTAGGATAGATTACAGAACTTGCTATTGCTGTGTCCAA